CCCCTCCCCCCCGCCCCGATGAACAACAAAATATGTTGTCCGCTCGTCAGGGCTTGCCCTAGCTGCGGCAACAACTGCTTCGCCTTCCGCCAAGAGTGCAACCGCTGCCAGACTCCAAAGCCTGGGGGAGACGGTGGCGGTGGCGGTGGCGGCGGCGGCGGCTACGGCGGCGGCGGCGGCGGGCGTAGCGGTGGCGGTGGGTACGGTGGAGGCGGTGGTCGCGGTGGGGGTGGCGGCGGCGGGAGGGACGGCGACTGGTGAGGGAGAAATAGATACCTGTGTTGTTGTTGTTGTTGTTGTTGTTGTTGTTGTTGTTGTTGTTGTTGTTGTTGTATTTTGTTTGCAAAAGACCAAAAACAATGATATCGAATGTGCCAGATAGCCCCAAGAAACGTGTTGACAGTAATGATCGTAAAGATTGGTAGGTTGGGTACGGCCGCCCCCACCTCGATGCTCTTTCCCAAGCGGCCAGGAGTCCAGCAGAAGAAACGGCGTTCATGGCAAAAAGAGCCTCGGTGGTTGGAACCCTAACCCTAACCCTGTGATGGTGCTCCAGTGGGTTGGTGCGGCGTTTATCACAAGCTTGCCTTAGTGCCGCGGTCCGTGAAGTCGGTGGCTGCAGTGGTTCTGTCTCTCTCTTGTCTCAGATCCAGGCGATCGTTGGGAGGACATATCGCGAAGTCTACCTGCAACAACACCTTTGCTGCTTGGCTTTCTGCGGCGGAGACCCTCGCTCGTTTTTGCACGCGGGCAACCGCTTCATCGTGCTCTCCGTACAGTATGGAACACGCGACACCAAGGGTTGACGCAGATATCACATGAGATCCGTCTCCTCTCTTCTGTGTTCATTGTTTGAAAGCGAATCCATCTCTGTCCATAGATGAAAGGGCACAGGATGAAGTGGAAATAGGTTCATAGCGTCAGCCTATAGCGGGTACATGCGTGTCGTGGCGTCTAAACTTTGGTCGGTTCCCCCCCCTTTTTTTCGGACATGACGTGTCAACAGGGCGTGTCCCAGCTGCGGCAACAACTGCTTCGCCTTCCGCAACGAGTGCAACCGCTGCCAGACCCCCAAGCCCAGCGGCGGCGGCGGCGGTGGCGGCGGCGGCGGTGGCGGCGGCGGCGGCGACGATGCAGGCGGCCGTGGCCGTGATGAAAGGTAGAGTCCCCTCGAACACAGCGTGGGTTGGTCCCGTCTTCAACGTGATATCGTCATTTTTGAACTCTTGTGTGTCTCGACACGATGAGCGTTGTGCTTGTGTCGGCGGTCCGATGTCCGAAACCGTATTCATGAAGTTATCGCGATGCGGCAACTATGTACATACCACACGGGGCATCGGTCTGCCGTGTGAGGATGCTTGGTGCTGGCAGCGTTAGCGTCAGCGGCATCCTGTTGTCCCCCGGGCTTACATTGATTCGTTCTTTTCCTCGCTGAGGAGGGATTGACGAGCCCGACTACATCGACTCCTCCCGGCCTTAGCCCCAGGGCCGGCCAGAAGGGTGAGGGAACACCTTACCCCAACACAAAGAGCGTCCAGCAACGTCATGGGGCGCATGACAGACGTGAGTTGTGAGGGGCGTCAATGCTACAGGGCCTCCGGCGAAAATGGGCGCGAGAGAAAGAGAAGAAAGAGGAGAGAGGAGGTGTGGTCTTCTCTGCTCCAGGGATTTCCAACCGTTGTAGGGGTGTTTGGTCTCTTGGTCTGTTTGGTCTCTTGGTCTCTCGGGTGGTTTTTGCGGAGGACGGGGTCGTCATGAGCTTTGTGGTGATAGTAAGAGGGTTTTATCTCACCAAGCGTAAATACACTTGTGCACACGTGGTGGGCATTTTGTTTTTCTTTTGACACCGCCTCTCTAGCTGTCGGCTCTTTGCGAAATCCCGGCCCTTCGTCCTCATGTGCCCCTAACCTTTGAAACATCCGTTCTACGTAGCGTAGGACTTTCCGGTTGGCCACGAGAGAGAAAGGTCTGCTTGCTTGCTTGCCGGCGTGCTCTTTCTCTTTCTCTTTTTTTCGGGGACTTGTGCTCTTATGGTACTGCATGAAATGAACGTGTGAAGTGCCCGAACCAGCGCTCTCCTGGCATCGTGTGTTGTATCTCGGACTTCACCGAAGTGGAACGAGCGTGCTGATGTGATGAGAAAGAGTTGGATGTGATGTGAACCCGAGTAGTGCCGCGGTTGAGTCGATGGCGTCGATGCCGGGATGCTTGGAAAAACAACCTTAAGCTAGCGTGCATGTTTGCTTCGCTTAGCCCAACACGAAGATTGTAGTGGCGGGGATGGATTTTTCGGTATTGAGCGTGGTTTGGTGTTAAACCGTTATCGGTACTGTTGGAGGAAGCGAGAGCCAATTTCGGTGGTGGGCTTGCTTGAAAGGCTGGATGTGGTTGGGCACGAGTGTCTTGTGATTTCAACCCTGCCATGTGACAAGAAAGGTATTTGTGCCAACGCGTTTTTTTTTTTTTTGCGCACGTGTCCCCCCTCTCACCCCGCCGCCATCGACGCACAGGCTTGTTCCATCGACCGTCGCAGCTGTCTGACCTGACCCCTGACGCGCCCGCACGCTGATCGGGGGAAATGGGTCTGGGGTGGCTGAGGCCTTCGCCAGCCGGGGGGAATTCAAAACTATTCAAAACAACTAGAGAGAGAGAGAGAGAGAGAGAGAGAGAGAGAGAGAGAGAGAGAGAGAGAGAGAGACGAGGGTGTGCTTGGCGTTTGTGTCTATTTTGCAAGTCAGCAGCAGTGTCACCCCGCCGTAAGGTTAGGAAATTATTATTATGTTGTGCATGTAGGTGTTTGCTCAATGTCGACAGCAGTAGTGATAATGATGAGCGAACCGTGTGGCCCTACGTGGGCGCAGGACACTTGGGGTCGACGCCCGCTTGTTGATTTGTGTCTTCACTGGCTTGCCTCACGATCTCCCCTGGGTTGTGCTACCGCATGCCATCGAGCGTGTCGTGCACTGCGAGGTGTTCGATTTACAGCAATCGCGGAAGCCTTGCTTTCCTTGTTTCTCCCATCTCGTCGAGGTGTGTGTGCACGGACGTTTCTGAGAGCCTCAGTCGGACTCTGCAATTTTCCACCTGGCGGCACCCCAAGCCCGTCACGTGCTGATAGCAGCTTCTGCCCACAACCCACTCGCAAGTGTACACAGCAGGACCCAAAGGCGGACGCTGGCACCTTGTTCTCCCCCTCGCTTATCCCCGCCACCCCCCCCTCCCGCCCACAATGTGTTTTAACCCGCGTGATTTTTGTCGAAGCAGGTCCCGCAGGGAGAGGTCGCGCTCTCGCTCCAGGGACAGGGGTGGAGGTGGCAGGGATGACGGTCGGGAGGAAGAACCCGCCGGCACGGAGTCCACATGGTACGTCAAGATGCGGACGAATCATGCGATCGTGTACCCTTGAAGGAGGTGGTGCCGTCAATAAATACGGCCGTGCCCTCTGGAGGTTGTCTTGATGCCCCCCCCCGCGACGCCAATAATGCCGTAGATAGGGAGCAACACACCAGTTTTTTTTTGTGTGTGGCGGCATGCGTGCGTTTCAGCGATGCCGTTACCGGTCCTCGGAACCGTGTTTTGGGAAGCCCGCCTTAACCTTGGCCTGCCGTCGGTGGTGCGTTTTCTTTGTTATTCAGCGGCAAGGATTGCGGAGACGAGTGCGACAACAACCGTGTCTACGTGTCCGGCCTGCCCACGACCATCACGGAGACGGACCTGGTGGACAAGTTCAGCACCATCGGCATCATCGCCCGCATCCGGCAGGCACGTGGTGATCGTTGCGTGTGGCAACTGATTGAGGGCCACCCGTACGGCGTTTTCTGTTGCATTATTTTCAGTTGATGATACAATCGCTCTCCGTGGGGCATGTGCCTCCTGCAGCCTCTGTTGATGTGCACCCGTCAGGGAGGTGGCTACAATGAACGATGGTTTGCTAGACTCAAATCCAGGGCTGTGGTTTTTACGTTGTTCTCATTGGTGTTTCCGAGAACAAAGTGGGGGGGTCCACTTCATGAAAATCAAGACACCGATGACTATCGTTACTCGCGTGCGAGAGCAATCGTTGACCCAACCCAAAGGGTGAAACATTGCTACCACAGTACACTTCCAATTCCACCGACACAACGTAGATTGTAGGTGTAAGGCACGTGGAAATCCCGGGGATGCTCAACTTCTGCTGTCGTTGACTACTCCCCCACCCGCCTTCCCCCGTCTCTCTCCTTATCTCCTGCGCTTGCCGAGCAGAAGAGGGGCTACAAAGATCAGTGGCCATTTTCCGTTCGCATCTACAAGGACAGCAACACGGGCAAGCCTAAGGGCGACTGCATAATCAAGTACGAGGAACCCAACTCCGCGCACGCCGCCATGAGGTGGTTCGACGGCATCGACTTCAAGGGGGGAAAGATCGGAGTTGCCATGGCTGCGAAGCCCTCCCTCAACAACCGCTACTAACGATTTCCGACGTTCCGGAAGGGAATGAATGCCCTGCTACGGGCTTAACGAGAAATTGTGGAACCTTAATCAGACAAAGATCGTGAGATGTGGACCTTCAGAACCCGACGAAATCGGAAAAGGTCGTGAGATATGGACCTTCAGAACCCATACTAGACAAGACAGCGGTTGTGATTCTCTGCGGGTGGTAGGTAATTGAGACCCGAGTTGCCGACCCATAACTTGTGTAGCCGCACGACGTTGGTTTCATTGTTACTTATTTTGATCCTGTTGGTAGTGGTAGAAACGTTTCACCATCACAGTCAAGTGTTACCAGCGATCGCCATGACAACAGTGTTTCGAAAGGTGGTGATTGTTGAGGCTCACCTTCTGCAAGGGTCGGATTTCATTTTGGTTGAGCGCAAGCGGTACGGGGTATCATGAGGGATGGGGTGGGAAAAGACGAGCCTCGCCATGATCGCAAAGCCTGTCTTAAGACCAGCTTGACACCACGGGGCCAGGAAAGCTACCGTGGTGGTCGCAGAAAAATATGCTTCTCTTCGCTATACGTGCAAGATCGCTGCGGCAGTAATTGCCTCCCGGAGCATTCCGCTGCAGGCGAAGCCTTTGCCTAGCGAAGAACCCGCTGGTTTGGGTCGCGTGACTCGCTGTACTCGGACAGTCCTTAGCCTTCAAAGGAAAGCTACAGTCCGAGCTTTGTTTTCGCACGAAGAGTTTGAACTAGACACAAATAGTAAAGGTGTGCGATAAAGAGGAGGGGTCGTGCACAGATTTTTCACAGATTTTTTTTTGTCTTGTTTTCTCTGAGCCTGTTCTTTCGTCGCGACGGGGAAAAGAGGGCGTAAAGCGTGAAAGATCACGAGCAGATGAGAGAGCGAATTCATATTATATCTTCACGTATAATGCTCGCCATAGAGTGTGCGAGGGGATGAGGAGGGCGGTAGATGACGTTTTTTTCGGTTGGGAGCGGTGGCATCATGTACCCCTCTTTGTCTAGGGTGGAGCGCTGTGCGGTGCTGGGTCCTGCCCTCTACGTATCCGTGGACGAATGAGTAGCTAGTGATGATGTCGGAGATAAGGCGATATATGTGCGAACCTGTTGGTTGCCATTTCTTCTGTTCTATAGGTGTAGCACCGCCGTGCCTGTGTTGCATCGAGTGTGGGTCATTCATGCTTCTTTTGGGAACCTGGATTTATTTATCTAGCGGCCCGTGGCGTATGAAGTACGACCAGAACATTGTAGCAGCAGGCGTGGCAGTTTTCCCAAAGGGATTAGTCAACAGAAGCAGCGTGGGGGCCCAAGAAAGCGTGGGGGCGAAATCGAGCATCATAAGGATGTTTCTCGATTCGTTTTCCGGGATGCCGACCATTTTCGGGTTGACAACTTACCGCGATTTTTTTTGCGAAAACGCTTCATCTGAACGAAGACGGATATATGTTGTTCATCATCTTTGGAGTTAATGAAGACATTAGGTTTCTTCGGGCTGCATGCACTTGATGCGTCTGGTGTGAAATGTCCTGAAAACAAGTAGCGTGGAGTGGTGCACCTGGACGACAAGTTCGGAAAGATTTTCGACTCGTTCAATGGTCCCGCGTTGTTCACAAACCATCCGAAGCTACGTATGCGTTCGTTTCTGCAACAAACATGACACACTCCACATTTTGCCTGGGCACGTTTGCCTGTACAGAATTTGCCACTTCACCTACGCATACGTGCGGGCATGTCCGGTGTGTCATTAAGAAAATCTTCGGGCGCAAAACTCGTCATGAAGTGGACCTCTCTGGCTAGGCCAAATGTCTTTCGTTTGAACCATCCTTGAGCGACCTGTCCATGGCTTGTTCCTGTTTCGTGTTGCGATGTTATTGATATGCGTGTCTTGTTTATGGGTTGGCTCGTGACTCACTGATATTCGCTTTGCTTTCTTGAGGAGAATGAGGAGGGGGACGACGAGAGAGATGTACTGTAGGTGAAAATCCTCGAATGTTGAAGGCACCAACATATAGCAGCAATGCAAACGAACAGCATCAACAGTTGTCGAAGAGTTCATGCCAGTTTGATATAGATCTACTCTCGACATGGCATCAAGCGGCACCCATCAGCAGGCATCCTACTCGGATGTTCTCAACCCTTCCTTCACAAGAGTTTGACATTTCACTGCCCGCGGGGTTTGAAGCAGCGCCAAAACGTTGACCTGGCGGGACCGCGCCGCTGGTCGGGCAGGTCAAGATGGGAGATCGACCAGCAAGAAACCGCGCACTCAACAACAGGAAAGCGACTTCTTTTTGTGCAAGCACACAAATGGGAGGTTCTCCCACAGCCGTGCGAACTGCCACCATGAAGCTACCCTGAAGAAGCACAAGTTGAAAATAGTGCGAGACACGTAGGGTTGCCCACGGAAGCTAGGTTCCTCGGCTGATGACGGAAAAGAGTCGCTTGGGAAAATACCGGTACACGGAACGAGGGGGGCCGAACAACCAACCCACGTGGAAAGGTACCAAGTCGGACAAGAGGGATAAGGAGCACCGAAAAAAGCGTGTTCACCCTCTGGTAGGAAGCAATCTCGAAGCAGATAAGGTGCACCGGGAAAAAGCAGCCGTAGTACTACGTGGTAGGCAGCCGTGCGTGATAGATCAACAGTCGCGTAAGGTATGTCTCGGTAGGAGTGCTCCAGCAGCTGCGCAGGTGGACACCGTTGCCCTAGTCAACAGTAGCGTTAAAGCCGCAACAGGCGCGGGTAGAGTAAAACTAGCGGTCGAACGATCACCGCAGGCTCTATACTTAGCTACAGTAACTAGAGGTCTCAAGTCGAAGCATAGGTCGAGAAGTTTGACTGCCGACAACAATAATGAGGAATTTTCTGCATTCCACATGACGTGACATGTTGCGGTCGAACAACGACTAATTTTTCTGTTGCCCTCTCCCCCGTTTGCTGTCGCGTTCAGACTGTCTCTAGGGATATCCCTGTCTCTGTGCGAGTTTGTTTGTGTCCTCGTCTTTGCTTTATTCTGTTTTATTTTGTCTTTTGTTTT